AGGCCGGCAAGATCTGCCTCTCAAATCCGTGTAGCATTGATACGAAACTTTTGGGAAAGCGATGGACATTGCGAGGCCCTAAACTTTGTCTGGCTGTCCGAGCACGACTGTGAGAGCATAGAGAAGCCCGATTCCCTTGGCCTGCCGTGCGAAGGAAACCCTGCCCTCAAAGGGGAAGATGGACTGGTCTCTGCCGCTTGGCCGACTGGGTACAACATTGAGAGGCCTTTGGAGCCCAGCATTTGGAACCACTGCCCCATGAGCACCCCAAAGCGGGAAAAAGCGGCATGAAAAAAAACATCAGCAGCACTGTACGACAGGAACAGCTAATGTTCTGCCTTAGGCCCGACAGGTGGCATGGTCGGTCCAGCACTTCAGTGCATCTAGGGTGCAAACGTGCATCCGCCAAGCCTCCACGATCCCAGGAACACGGTGAGCCCCCTTACTTCCTTTTCCTTCTTCCGGAAGAGCAAAGCGCTTACTGCTCTGGCCGTGCTGTGCACCGCGATGGAGCTGCTAGGCTGCACAAGTGTCGGCATGCCTCGACATGGGGACTAGAAGTGATGCTTGCCCTTAGATATGTTGATTGGTGCGGGACATAGTTTTGGTCAGGGAGGATGAAGACTCCGGTCGCTTGTCCGAAGGAACGCCCGCAACAGGGCGTTCAGGCATGTTCGGGCGCACACCTTGACCAACTTCTGCCTGACGATTGACCTGCCCAACACGACAAGTCACGTTGCATACATGGCCTCCAATGCCTTCACCATATCAAGGTTCTGAAGATCGCACGCCGATCCTGCTGGTTGCTTTATCGCTATCTACCGGAATCTACCGCTACTCTCAAGTGTTTGTCTTGAAAAATAGACGCGCAGGATGGCTGCATGTGACTCTGGGGCACATTGTATCGTGGTCGCGCACAACCGTAACGAACGCATCATGTGTCTGGTCTGTTTGCGAAAACACGATACACTGCCCGCTTGTACCAGGCTTCCGTCGCACATCAACATCGACGCCGTTTATCGCCGCCAGAAGTTTGGCGAGCGATGGAGCAACGAGCAAGACTCGTCGCAGTTGGTCGGGTCCTCGGATATTCGGACACAGAGTGCGCGGGCACAGTACTATAAGCATACAGTTGGAGCAAGAGCTGTTTACTCAGTACGAAATGTTGCCTTGGCACCATCCGAATTGTGGCATCGTATTTTCCCTTCCCAGCGCACATTCGCCACATTAATCTGTAGCATTGGTATATGTAGTACTGTGTAGTAGTTTCATTTCAAGCCATCGATACAGACCGCCTGCATGCTTCCCAGCTGAAGGTCGTCTACCAGATTTCGGGTGTCCTCAGTACTCTCTTCCGCGCCCAGTTGATTGCAAAGCTCGGTCAACAAGGAGCCTGCCGACTGGACGCTTGGTGCACAGAGCCTCGGCAAAGCCTAACAAAGTGTGTTTGGAACCATGCCCCTTCCTGACAAACGTCCTAACTGCGGCTACCAGACTCAGAAGAGAAGGGGTGGAAGTCAACAAAAGCCTGCAGTCTTGCGCAGCATGCGGCATGCAGATGGTATCACATTTGTCAGGTCATCATGAACTTGAACAATGCCCTGGCATGGCACCCAAGCCTCCTCTACTTGAACCCGCTTTTGAGTGTGTCATGCGGCTGCATAAGACACGCTTTCCAATATGATCTTTCGTTGCACAACGCGCGCGCGCGCGTGCGCGCGCCTTTGTGGAGAGCGGTAATATGCTGATCTTGGCATTTCAAAGCTGTTGCCTGTTTCCCCAGCATGAGCAAGAAGAGCTTGATGTATACAGAATCTAGGATCGCTCCAAGACTTGCTGGGAACCGACAAACTCGCAGCCTGCCTACGTGCGCCAGCTCCAGGTTTCAATGCGGAGGACTCTCGCGGCTCGGTATGTTTTATATGTTTTCGGGGAGTTCTTGCCACACGGCCTCGGTACTCGTAGCTCTCAGAGCGCAAGACAATCTCGCTGCCACAGATTCCGCCTCGCGAGCGACATGGTTGGACGTTTGTACACCCGAAGGTCATGCTTAGCTTTGCATCTCCCCCTGGGCTCAGAAGGCCGACCAAGCACATAGGCATGACACCTAGATCGAAAAGCAAGGCTGGATCTGGAGCTGCAGAAGGCTGCGGCAGCCGCAAGTCTCGGCGTGCCTGGGCTCCGTGCAGTCAACAGTATACATCAGTGACATGTGTTGTGGTGCCTCTTTCAAGCGAGACTATTGCTCCGTTATTTTGTGTCGGTAAAAGCACATCGCCTAAAGCCGCTTGCAAACGAATCGCACGCATCAGCCGCATGCAAAGCCGACGATCCAGGTGGGCCTTCTGGGCGACCCTCGGCATTCATTGTTCTCGCATGTTCGAGCTCTGGGTAGTCAGAGCTTGTTGCAACCATGTGCTTGCTAAGTTCATGCCAGCAATATCTGTGCAAGCCTCCATCACTTGTCATGTCTTTGTGCCGCAAGCATGGCACTGACCTAGACTATCTTTCCTCTCAAGGCTGCCACCGCCAACCGCAGCTTTCTGCCATCCTTGGTACCTCGTCCGAGACACCAGGGCCTCGTCCGAGACACCAGGGGCATCCAGCCAAGTTCAGCACGCAGATATACCGACAGCAAACAAACTCAGGTCATGCCACGCATCTACACTGCCATGTACAGCTTCTTGATGGCATTTGGCATACGGCTTTGGCCACATGTAACCGATAGATCTGAACGGGTTGTCGGCTGAAGCTTCCAAGCTCACTCAGTAGTCCCGTGGTATAATCCAGCCACGATCGGATGGACCAGAACCATGCCACGCCAGCTTGCCCGTTTGCCCGTTTCAGGAGGGTGCACACTCTCTCCACCGAACGAACTTGATGGAAGCGACGACATAGAGAGCCCGCAGTGTACGGCCGCTAGAACTGCAGCCAGCCCTAGCGTCAATAGACAAGCATGACCCAAGCACCTGCGAACAGCGGCCTCCACTGCCGTCACTATCTCCAAGGCTTCCCACAACAAGACTAGAAAGCACCCACTCCCATTGAGCCAATGGCGTTCCGGTAGAGAGGCTTATGGTCTCGAACGCGGCCCTCTGCAGCGTACGCGGTAGCCGGCATATCGCGCCTTGTGCTGCACAAGCCTAGGTCCAGGTGCGGCATGGCATGGCATCTTCGCTTCCTAAGTTTGGGCCTGGGTTCTCCATAGTTTTTTCAATCGATGCGACGAGACGGGTAGGTCAAATGCACAGACAGTGTACCTTCCCTGCAGCATGCAAGGGTTTGGATTATAGGATCGACTTCAGGCTTGCCATTCGAACCTCACGATAGCAGGTGTGGAGCAGGTTTTTGATGTCCTTTACCAGTCCTTTACCCCAAATTGGCCCTAGAGTCCTCGCACGAGTCAAAGCCCTTACAATGCCATGGCATAGTGCAGCCCTTCGTAGATTGAACCCCAAACCCTGGGAACCCTAATGGCCCTAATAGCCTATATAGATTGAACCCTTGCAAACAACCCCCCAAGCAGCCCTTCTAGACTCGAGGGCTGCCCTCACTGCCGAGCTGGTGGTGCCCTGGACCTTCGCGCGCTTGGGCGCGTCCTGAAAGACGAGAAAAGGTTCCGAGGTCGGAGCTTCCCCACCCCTAAAACCCGTATCAACCCATGTAGAACCCCATAAAATCTGGAATCGGATCCTCATGAAATCTGAAGTTTTTGTTGCTGACCCCTTCTTGTAGCTGGATCTTGTGCTGCAATGCCTGCCTGTCTTGCCGAGCATGACCGACACTGCACTATCGCCTGTATTGTCCAGAATCGCGTCCCAAAATCAGGAACCCAAGGGGACGGCGGAACCATCCTGTTACTGCTGTCCACGCCATAGCACTGCGAATCGACAACAGACGAAGAGCACCAAAACCAGAAGACAGACAGCCCATGCTGGCAGCAGCAACATGTTTTCGACAATGTGGTCTCGTGCCATCTCTTCTTATTCATAGCAACTTATAACAACGGAGATTTCCAGTGTCTGTTTAGGAGTGCTTAGCCTTGAGCCCTGAGCCCTCAACTTAGAGTTGACTGGACTTCCGACGCGGCGACACGTGCCGCATCCTTTGCCCAAAGCCATGCTTGACGAAACATTTGTCGAGCGGGTACCGGAGGACCCGGTTGGGGGTGTCAGCGCCAGGGATCCCACGGCTTTCTCCTAGCGATCACTTAGGACAGGAGCCACATGTTTGTCAGAGGCCTTCTTGTATCCAGAAGGCTTCACAGAAACCCTTTACTTTCGTGTGGGCCTCAGCCCAGGAGCCGGCAGAACTCGTGGACGTTCGTGTGACAGTCGTGCTGCTGTCCGGCCATGTGCAAGCAGCTCGGGCTGAGCTTCTCCCCGCTTCAAGACATGTGTGGCTGCTGCGAGTTCTGTAGCATTAGTTGAGACAGATTCTGTGCTCGTTGAAGGCAACAGCCTCTTGCGCATCTTTGACTGGGAGTGGTCACTTTAAGCTGCAGCTCAGGAGCTATGCTGCAGAAAGATGGACCGGGCGGCATGCACGTTGTGACATTGTGCTAGCATCCCCGACCACCCCGTGTTGCATTAGGACACTATGGCAACATGTGAAGCGTTGCTCTTACCTTCACTGAAGCATTGGCACAGGAAGGGGCCTGAAGTGCAAGTTGCAGTATCCATGCGGAACCTGAAAATCCGACCCAGCAAGGTCACATCTCAGCATTCGTCTGTTGCAGCCTGCAGTACGATACAAGTTTTCACACTCAGTCGAAGTCGGCACCTGAGAGGAGTACCATTGGTTCCTGCTGCAAAGATGCCTTGCCAGCGAAAGTGATAGAAGGCAAAGGCTGAAAGAAGGAGAAACTCAAGGCACTGAAGCGGCTCTTAGCCTCAAGCAGCAAACACAAAATGCATCGCGCAGGCTTTGCTCTCCCAGTGAAGCAATAGGAAGTGCCCCAAAACGTCCCAAAACTGCAATCACCACCCCGTCAGCATTCGATGTACTGCCAGGACACTGTGTCCGAACTTCGTCGCAAAGTTTCACAAAAGCTCGGCTTGACGGAGGGCAAGGCCGACAAGACTCCTTGCCCCCCGCGGCCCTGGCAAAAGCTGCTACTTTGAAGTCACCTGCACCTGTGAGATCCTGCGAGCGAATTCCGCAGCATGGCCATGGCGAAGGCATGCAAGCTCCTGGACCCCCAGGGGACCTGCCTCCCCGACGATTGGCTAGCGGAGGAGCGTCTAGAACACTGTCGGGACATGAGCACTCCGCCTTTCCGGCATTATGTCGGCGCATGGCCACATGGAGCAGAGAGTTGCTATATGTTGCGGCGGGCAGCAGAGAGGCCATATGAAGCATAGTCTCAGGAGCTACATGACGCCGTGCTTACCGGCGTCCTTGCACCTTGGCCGTGAGCAGTCGGGAATCTGAGAGGACAGGAACTTGTCCGATGTTGTGCTTGTTTGGGGACGCCACCTCGAGGTGCGTGTGGCCAGATTTCGCCTGAGCCCTCCCGACGACTTTGGTTCGTTGTGCGTGGATGGCTTCGGAGACATGCCAGCGTGGCTGCAAAACGACAGCCTGTTCTAGAAGCGAGAAGTCACTAGATGAGTTGGCATGAGACATAGCTCCTTTCCAATGCCGCGTGCAGCCTAGAGAAGGGCGGGTCAGGCCCCCGAGAGGAAGCACATCGATGCCAATGATGCCACGAATAACTCACTAGTAGCTGCAAGGGGCCGACATGCTCTTTGCAATCTTCCGGCACAGCCTTGACTTCACCTGTATGGGAGTGTGGTGCGGACATGACTCGGAGGCTGGAAGGTGGGCATTGCAGGTTTTGAGCTCAGGTCGGCCAAATACATGGAAATCAAGAACGGTGGACAGATGGCGATGAACAGGGAGTCATAGCTGCAATGCCCACAGATCAGAGATGAGGGGCGATTTAGGAGGACGTGTCTGGCACGCAAGCAGCACACCTTGCATGAGAAGTTGCATTGACTTCTTCTGCAGTGTAATTGATTTGGCCGGCGCTGCTCGCATCCGACATCTCAGGATCAGCAGGATGGGCGGGCCGAGTTGGAGGACACGTTAAACCCCTCAACCCTAATCATTTGGCTCCGCGATGCCCTGGAGCGGTTGGATGATTTTCGAGAGTTTCTGAATGTGTGACAGGATGCCTTTTCAGACGGCGATCTTCCCGTACAGCTGCTGGTCTCCATGCCTGCAAGTTCTGGATATGCCCATTTTATTTATGCATCTCGCTTGCATTCAGCGCATTTTTTCAGAAAGGGAGCCCGGCCTGCGTGCGCCCACAAGCCGAATGCGGCATCCTCCCCCGGACCTGTTTGCCGATCGATGCCCTCGATGCCTTGAGGTGAGGCGCGGCGCGAGTGTGGCGACAGTGGAGGCGAACAAGGAGGACCTTTACTCAGCGACTGGACAAAACGAAGGGTCCAGGGCCCGTACCGTGCCACTGCGTCGGAACCGGTGTTTTTTTTTTTGTTG